TCCATTTGAAATCAAAATGCTTAAAAGGCACTTTGAGTATTAATAAATATCAAAGCACACAAAAAAATATATTTATAATATTAATAATATTATAGATATAAGTTATAGAAATTCATTAATATTTTTAAAGTACCTCAAAATGATTAATTAAAAAAAAATTATACAAAATAGTAGAAATAATGTTTTTCAAGTACATAATTTGTTATTTCTAACAGATGCTACAAAAGTAAAACTTGTATTATACTTTTTTTTTTGTATTTTTCGATGTTTTATCATTTGTAATGCATTTAACGGAATACTGTATAATATTTTAAAGTAAAAGGAAAATTCAAAATATTTCCCTTAACAATTTTAAGGTATTTTCGATTTATATCAGATGTCGATGTCGGGAATGCAATAATATCTCCAGCAATTATCGGATGTGATGCCTAACCGGAACTTAACGAATAACAACAAATTGAAAATTTAAAGAAATATAGAATTTATAATCAGTATTTAGTGGATTTTATTATTATTATGTAACAGTTCATGAACACTCAACAATAACTTTTAATTTTTATAACTTAAACAAGAAATAGATTTGTTTTATTAAATGTATAAAACATTGCATAATATATTAATGTTGTTTGTTATTATGCATTATCCAATTTATAAAAAAAACATTTGAATTGTTCAATATGAATTATATATTTTCATTCATTATTTAAATGACTAAAAATAATATAATAATTTACTAAGCTATTCTATTAATTAGTAAATATACTTGAATAATTTAATTTTTCTATACTTATAGAAAATCAAAAGAAAAAAAATGAAGAATAATCCTGGGTTTTTGCCACCATCATCATGGAATTTCAAAGAAAAAGTTAAACCTCGAATGTATTTTGATCCAAGGTTAGTAACTGATTTAACTATAGAGGATTCAGACAGTTCAGATAACGAAGAAATTGTAACTGAAAATGATCCTGAACCACAATAATCAATCAATAATATTTCAGAAGAAAATAACTAAAACTTTACAAATATTTACACAATGGTAAATAATACCTTAAATAAAAAAACATGTTTGTATATTGATGTTTTAATTTTAATATAGAAAAAATAAACAAAAAAAAAAGCTTAAAAGAGCAACTGAAATAAATTTTGTTTTTTTTTTTTTTCAAGAAATGAAACATGTTATCAAAATTATTGAAAACAATGTTTATTACTGATAAAATTCAGAATAAAAAAAAAAAACATTACTCAGAAAATTGTATGCTGTTGCACATTTTTAAGGAATCAAAAAGTTACTCCTTGTTTAAATACAATAAGAAAGCATTTATTGTTAAAAAAAGAATGTAGTTTTAACAATAGCTTTAAAGTTGTAGATAAATATATTTATCAAAAAGACAGAATGTAAATATTATGCATGTATTTTTTTAAAAAAAAAAAAGCTTGATTGTTCTTAATAAGTAAGATTTCAATTATTGAAATCTTACTTATACTGGCTTAGTAGATTTTATGAATAAAATTGAATGTTCTGAATTAGCTGACCATGTTTTTTTTTTTTTTTTTTGTGGTAAAGTTTAGCTGATAATATCATTTAACTAATATAAGTGTTTGTGCTGAGTGGACCAGTTAAAGATATAATTCCCAATAATAGTTCAAAATCTCTTATTTTTAAAATAATATAAAGATCCTTAAAGTATTATAATGTTTTTATAATGGTTTAGACTTATTACTTGAAAATATTCATTGGTGTTGATTTGACTTAGTTTTATGGTCTATCTATCATTGCTGAAAGACAGTAAATTATAAGTACTAAGTTTGACTAGTGACGGAACTTTTACAGATAATATAAGACATTGAGTGTTAGTTAGACTTCAACTATTTCTTTGATAATCTTTTTGATGAAAGCCGTTCAATTATCATGTTTTGTGATTTTCTCCATATTATCAAAAACATAAGAAACTGTGTAGTAAAGCATAAACGCCTAAAATTAATATTTTACATTAAACTATTAATTATTACCTTAATTATAAACATTAACAAAAACATTTATTTTTCTAAATGTATCACAATAAAAAATTCTATTAAATGAGAACATTGTTGAATCCTATAGAACAACTCAAAGTATACTTCAAAATAATAAAATGTCATACAAAACTAAACAATCTTTTGAAAATTAAAGTGAAGTATATCAGATAGGTAGTCATAATAATTTTGTTATCATATTATGATTAGTTCAAGTATAAAATTTAAAAATATTTGAATTTGACATTACATTATACAGTTTTGAAACAAATAATTTTTTATTTAGTTGTTTAGTAATTCAATGGAAATGAAGCTATGGTTATATTAAGAACAAAATTGTGAAGACTTAAAAGATTTTTTTTAAATAGAATTATTTATTTTGCAAATAAAGAGAAACATTTCCAGTTGAAGTCATTAGAAAAATGGCAAAGATAATAGTGATTTATTGTGTGCAATGCTTTTGTGTTTGTGTGTTGAAATTATTTATTGAATATTATTATGTATTGTAACTAATTTTATAGCATGTATTCACTTATTTGATTATAATGTTATGTTTATTAAAAATAATTGTATAAATAAATAAATAAATATATATATATGTGTGTGTGTGCATTACAAAAAAACATGGTTAGGTTAAACAATAAGAAAAAACAATAAATTACTTGAAGAATTTTTAAATGAAAAAGTTTTATTAACTGAAAACTACTTCAATAATTCAAAACAAATTAACATATAACTTACAAGTTATGACTTAAGTAAATTATATTTTATTAAGTATATAACCTCAATTGTATATCTGAAATTGGAATTAGCAACATTTTAATACCCAAACTATAGTTACACAATAATTTGTTATCATTTTAGCTCATTTGTTTATTTTATGGTATTTGGAAACTATCTAAACAATTACTAAATTCATTTAAATCGAATGTATATAAAATTCTATATCAATAAACTTAATATTTCATTTCTTCTACTTCTCATATGCCTAATTATTCCATCCATAAATGAAAAACTACAATAGTTCCATAGTGAAAATATACATTTACCAATTGATTATGATTTTTTTACATTATAAATGTTAAAGTCATATGTATGCTATGTATTCTTAACAATTATTAAGTTGACTTTGAAAATGTTTTCATATAACTGAATAAAAATTTCAAAAATGTACAATTTTTAAAATAGATCAATGATTGTTAAATGTATTTATAATTTGTATGTATACTAACATTAATTTTTATGATTTTTATTAAAATGTTAATTAATTTTATATGTACTTAACAGTTTAAAAATAATTCAAATCAATATGAATAACTAGACTACTTCTGCACGAATTAGAGACATGCAGTTGCTCAACGAAAAAAATTATGTTATTGTAACTATAGTAACTAGGTAATAAGTAATAGTTCTTAAAATTGGATAAATTATTTCATAAATTATTGACTACTAAAAAAAATGATTTTGTAAAAATAAATTTTCAAATAAGAGACTTAATAATGACATAATGATTTAAAAATAGTTGATCAATTCTTAATGAATTACCAGTTGTTCCATTTCACTACTGTAGTCACTAGTCAGCACTTAGAAAAAAAATAATGAAGTGTAGTCAATCTAATTAATAAAGAACTTAAATTAGTATAATTGTTTTCAAACATATTTTGAAACCAACTAGCTTAGTACTAAGTTTTATATACATAATAGAATAATAAAATTTTAATACACGTGAAAGTTTGAAAAATATGGGACAAAATAATTTATCTGAGATTCAAAGACAATTAAGTTTGAGAAGTATGTTAAAAATTCTGAATTTTCAATAATATTATACATTTACTTATTAGAACAAGCAATACCTATCTGAAAAAGATATCCATTTTTATGTGCATGTTGAAGGTTACTTTAATTGGAATTATTGAATTATTTATATCGTTTATACCATAAAAATAACTAAATTTTAGTGTCTCCAAAAAAATGTCCTAATTTAGGGTTACATCAATTAGCCTTATCAATCTATGACATAATGTAAGAGTTTTAAGTTTTGAAATTCAAATTTTGACAAAATTCTGAATTTTTATATTTAAGAATTGAAAATTTAACTAAAGATTGCTCTGTAGTTTATATTTCATACAGAATCCAAAAAATATGTAAGATATTTTTATAGAAATTTGAAGTTAATTTCAACAATATTGGATATTGAAACTAAAAATAACTATTTTAGTTATTTTGTTAATATTCAAAAATATTATTTGTGAACAAATTTAAACATTTACGTATATTACCTATTATATTTTCCAACGTGTAAAGTTATTTTAATAATATTTACCTTTATAAATTTCAAACTATCGCCCAATTATATCATAAACTTATTCTCGCCATTCTATAGTAAGAAAATGTTAACCCAAAAGTTAATAACAATAATATATAATATAAATATATACTATACTACTTTAATAATTATAAATTTATGATATGATAAATAAAATATTTTTGGAAAAAGTAATTTAACCTACCATATAAATAATTGTAAAATAACTTTCTATAGTAGCAATATAAATTTATCGAGAAATACAAGTACCTACTTATAGTAATATAGGCAGACCGTCTTTGTTAAAAAATTGTTTTTCATTAACAATGATTACTGAACAAAAATGTAATACATCCTTTACAGTAACCTGCTCAATTATGAAGCACGCTCGAAAATAACTAGGAACAACTTGATTTTTTTTTCGTGTACTCAAAAATTATAAAATCATAATAAAAATTAATTCCATAGGTTTTCAATGATATTTGAAAAATGAATGTTTATACTGTTTATAGTTTCCAAGTATGAAATCGTTTTGGATGATTTGATTAAAATTTTAGTACAACGAAATGATCCAAGTGCTCTTAGCTAATTTGTTTTTATAATGATCTTAATTTAACTTGAAATGATTTTATATCTAATATATATCTGACAATAATTTGGCAGATTAAACATAACAGTTTACCTTTATTCTCGATAAAAAAAAATATAAATCTGTCCATAACTCGTTGAATATACGACATTCATCACGAATTTTATATTTTTAACATCGTATTAATAATTATAAAACACTGCGCGATTTTAACTTAAACTTCACGATTGTTGTACGATGACTGCACATTAGCATGTTTCAAAACGAACTGCATGTCTGCACTAAAATAATAGTTAATAAGTAATAACCAGATAAGTATTTTTCATAATCTAATCGTATCTAATATCTAATATCAATATATATATGCATATGTATGCTATGTAGGTATGTATACTATGGCCATAAAAGATTATATTTTGAGAAAACGATGTGAGATACGCTCATAGCTTGTATGTTATATTCCTAAAAGTATATTAGATTTTATTTATAACAATTTAAGATATAAAATTCAAATTTTAAACACCATGTTATTATACATTAAGAAGTCCGAAGTAAAAAGTTCCTTGAATTACCAATGCCTGGTCTAGGTTACTAGTTAGCTATCTATATATTTTAATGTTTTTATTTTATTATTTTATACTGTTCTTCTGTAAATGTAAATCTCAACGCCAGAACTGCAACATCCACCCGGACAGTCGAGGCAATTTCCCGAGAAAACGTCTCTCATACAATGTAAGTGGCCCCTAATTAATATTAGGAACTTATAACTTATATGTATATTTTGTCATGGATTGTCTAAGATTTCAATAAAATATTCTGTATTGAAATTTATAAGATCGTAATACTAGCAAATAGCAACCCTAAAACCGTATGGTATTTTGTCTTTGTAATAAAATAAATCTAAAAATGTTTTTACAAAAACAATGGATAAGACTGATTTTTATAATAATAAATGTTTGTTGGAATTTCGATATCCGCCGATAAGAGTTATAACGACAACACCAATCTATCGATTCGTTTCTTTAAATAAAATTGGGATATTCCACATTTATGTAATATAATAATAATATGATAACAAACAATTATTAACAGAAAACGTTGATAATATTGGTATGGCTATATTTACGTACAGCGTATAATATTTCAGTAATTCGGTGTGACGTAAGTTCTCATTTATTATTTTATGCATAATACATATTTTTAAAACTGACATTTGTATTTGGTTAAAACTATTATTAGCCAAATTTTATCATTTAAAGAATAAATAAATAACAAAAATTTTAATAGTTTAAATGAAATAGCTACTTTCATACATTCATGATATTGCATGATAGTACCCCTTAAACAACAGTTAAAAATCTCAAGGTTGCAAATGTGTAATTTTAAGGAATTAAGTGTAGACTATTCATTCGACTCTTATGGAAACTGTTTTTCGTTATTTGAATAGTAAATAATCATTAGTGTGTTTAACATCCAATGATTATACATGCATCAGATACACATTACAATATGTGCGGTTATAATTATGTTGTTAAAAAAGTGGTTTAAAATTTTAAAAACCAATTTTTGAATGAAATAAAACTATGTGCCTAACAAACATTTAAGTACTCTTATTTCTGCGATTTCAAAATTAAAGTATGTTTGAATTTATTAACAAGTTTTTACTTTGAATCAGGTCGTTAACAAATTGTTTATAAATATATGAAGTTAAAATTAAATTAAATTAATTGAATTCGTCAATGTTTAAGACTAAATAGTTAAAAACTATATTTTCAATAGAAAAATTGTGGGAAGTCACTCCGGTCTCCGGTGTATGATAGACTTCGAGTGTACCTTGTAATAAATTGAGTAGGTCACTGAAACAGATGTGTTAAGTATGAATTCAGTGAGAAAGACGAAAGGCGATTCTGAGCGTACACGGTGTGTCAACCTCTTTTTCTAATGATGTTTTCTGATTTATTTATATTACTATTATCTATTACCAGAATTGTGATGTATTTGAATACTTTTATTTAAATACATTTTTAAGTATTGAATTTAATTGTTTTTAAATACTTTCAGAATGAACCATTTTTAATCGTATTTTTATATTAAATAGGTACTTTTGTTTTTTTTTTTTTTGTAAAATTTAGTTAAAAAACTAACCCGACGGTTAATAACTTTAAATATATCATATTTTTAGATCAACCTAAATATGGCACAGTCTTATATGCAGGTCGGGCAACTAGTAGAACTCTATCATATTTTCAAATATCAGTTTGCTTGAACATTGAAAACGTGAAGTTGTATATTATAGTGTTAGTAAGTTTATGTCAAATATGGATCTTAAAATTGATAATATTTTTAATACAGAACGAAATTCAAGTCGAAACTAACACAAAATGCAATGCTATAAATAAAAATATCTACAATATTCGACGAAAAGTCATATTAGAAAAACAAGAATATGTAAAAACAAGCTGGAATAAGTATATGTCAGGTAAAATTAAGATTTTAGAGTATATACAACGTATGGGGGTAAAATTTCCAGGAAAAAAAATTTATATTTTAACTCAACTTTTAATATTATTTTACTTACATATTTTTGAATTTTAATAATATTTTAACATAATTCATAACATCAATTTTTAATCATACCCGTGGAATTCACGGACAATTCCAAGTCTGTCTAAATGAGAGGGACAATTGATTGGTAAAATACAGCATCCCAGTAGGAATAAAGAAAAAAGAAAGTCGCCCAAACACATTACAATGTTTTAAAATAACTCGCCCAAACGCATTACGTCCGAGTTTTTAAGTACATATTTAATAGTTAGAAAATAACATTTTTATTGCTACAACTTCTGAGCCCCGATTATATATAATTAAAATATTATTATCACGTATTATAGTTATGTAGTTATAAGGCCATACTTAAGTATCATAGAATAAGTATAAATGGTAAAATAGAATAATCCTGGTATTAAGACTTAACAGTGTAAATATTTTTAAAATGTCATCATTTAAAATGTTATGCTTTATAGTAAAAAGTATTAAGTCCTACGAAAAGTACTTAAATATTACAAAAATACGATTAAGATATTGTTAAAGGATAAATTTTTAAAAGGATAAAAATTTTCATTTAAATATTTAAATTTACCGAAATTATACTTAAAATGTACCTATTAAGCAAAGAAGTGTGTTCATGTAGATATCTATTTTTAATGTTGATATAAGAACAACTTACGAGAAACCTTATATTGAATTTTCAAACTTAATGACTTAATAGTAAAAATTTATCAACATAAAACGAAAAAAGTAACCAAGTCTAGAAAACTGTTCTTTTGTGTAGTAGGTTTTAAGTGTAACTTTTCATTGAAAAGGTTATAGGCCACTGTAATAAATGTGTTAAATCTAAATTCAATGATAAATATTTAAAACCAGTATACCGTATACATAATACTCGTACGTTACATATTGAATATTAAAAAAGATTTTAGAGATAGTCTTTCAGCCTATATTACTAAGAATATATTTATTTTTACTTTATTATTAGTAATGCAGTAGACTTCATAAATTTATGTCGAAAACATCGGATTTATAATATATTATTTATTATTGCATAATAAACATATTATATATTTTTATTGTTAATTATTGATTTTTGAATCTACAGAATGATGCGAATAGTCGAAACATATATGCATTATGCATGGTATAAATTGTTAATAACTTAAAATAAATTAAATATTTTGAAAATATCATTGTATATAATAAAATATAATTATATCAATAAATGTACAATTTTCAAATTCTTACGAATATTTTTGAAGTATGAGCAAAATAACTAAAATTTTTATCATTCTTTATTTAGTTATCCAATTTCGTTAAAGTTTGAACTTAAAATACATTAAAAAAAAAAAAATTGTGATTGACAATAGATCTTTTAGATTTTTGGATTTTCAATAACAACTACCTACTTATGATACCTTATATTAAATTAAGCTTTAGATGATATTTTGAATAAACTAAAATATAATAATAATAATAATAATAATAATAATAATAATAATAATAATATTATCAACATTCATAAAATTCCCACAAACATTTTTAAATTACAGAAAGATACGTTCTTCTTCATTTTAAGTTTAAAATATAAGATTTTCGTCAAAAAAATTTAAACACAAAAAATATTGTTGTTTTTAAATTGTTACAAGAAAAACCATGTGAGATCTTTACATATTTTAAAGCTTTTTAACCAATCCTAGATAATTTCGAAAATAAGAAAAAACTATAAAATTTTAAAATTTAAAATGCCTTTAAATGGTTTAAATTTAATTTAAAGATTCATTGAGTAGAAAAATTATAATTTAAATAACAATGGGAAGTAAAAAACTATAAATAAAAACTTCATAAAAAGAATCGGAATATTTTGAAATCTAAAACATTACGACTAAAAAGTTTTTATATAAATATTTAGGGAATATTTCAAGTTTCATGTTATTCCTTGTAGTATAAATTACAAAAAAAAATTTTAAATTTATTTTGTCAAAAACTTGTGTTGTACAAGTATTTTTCCAAAATTTTTTTTTTTACGTATATTAATTATTAATAATATTATTATAAAATATCTAATAAACCAAGTTTTCTACCAAAAACCACCATCAACGTTTAGGATTGAAATATTTTTACTACCTACTCTTAAAAGTTTCGTTAGATACAAAAAAATATACACACAAACACACACATGCACACACATAATCATTGTAAAACCGCTCAGAATTTCAAAATACACTCTTATACGTATAACGATACAGCAATATACAGTAAATTACTATAAATTTTAAATATTTTCAAAATGAAACAATAATAGGAAGTAATGAAGTACACATTTTTATTTGTCAGGTAAAGCAAGGCATTAGGTTAGACCTAGATTGTTAGGTAATATTGATGAAAAATTAATGATGTTTGCTGCCTTACTGGCTTTTGCGGAGGCTTTCATATAATTTATGTATCTATTCTTATATTTTTAATTATAATTAAACCCATGTGTTATGTACTGCAAGTATGTGAACGTTATGTATGATAAATTTTACCTACTCATATGTTTTCCGGACATTATATCATAAATAGCATTAGTGTAGTCTGCGCAGATTGTAAATTTCCAAATTGTCCATCCGCAGCATTTCCTTCACTGTCTAATTATCGTTAATTTAATCGTTCCACACACGACACGTAAGTACACGGTCCGCTGTGGCTCGACGCTCGTTGATA